TCAACAGATCAGATCAGATGCAACACATACATATATAGGAAGTCATAATGACATTTAAAGTCCTGAACAGTTTATTACCACTGGGTAAGAGTTTATTCCTGTTTGCAGCACTGTCAGTAAGAGCTCTGCCTGAGCAAATGTGCATAGACACATTTCTTGGTAGATTGCACAGATGCATGTAGCTATCATAAGAAGATTCCATAAAATCCATGTGTGTTTAATGAAGGAAAATTACATTATAAGTAGCTTTTAACTGTTTTCTACTTTTATTTTCAAGACTGTTATTATTCAAACTTGTGTATTTTAATTTATTTTTTTTTTTTGTGATTTCTCCATTCCAAGGCCAGCTGGCAGTTCGCAAAGACAAATCAGCACACTTAGTGAAATTCAAGTTTTCTAAATTTTGTAATTATTACTGTATCAATTACTTAAAACTACAGTATAAGTTCAAAGTACATTCACACAGAATGCTGGATGTTTCTCCTTGCTGCTTTAGTAATTGAAAAGAGAGGGAGAAAACTAAGGCTGGGTATCCAACTCATTTAAGAGCTTTGTAAGGAGAACTGTTCCTGAAAGCAAGGTGTGTTTAATAGTTATGAGCAATTGGTATGGAGCACAAAAGTGCTTTCAAAAGGGGTGTACGTAATGGCAGTACTTGAAGGATACCAAGGCTACTTCTTCAATTATATAAATACTGAATCATCAATTGCACAATGCTTTTTTTGAAGCATAAACACCCTTTATTTTTTATTAAGACCACGTTGAAATCATCAATCTAAAATTCAAAAAAGCTTTTTACCTACAAAGAACATTTCTTTAGCTGATGAACAGTATATAATCATTATCATTTTGTAGAAACCCTCAATGAAAACTTGGAAAATGTCTAAAACAGGAACTCATTAACAAGCTTATTACTTGTGCCATGTGATAACCTAATCACCTAATAAGATTTACAAAAGGGATTAATGGATCCTCCACCTGATGTATGGGTGATGTGCATTTATTCATACATGAGAGGACAGGAATTTATTTTGAAAGCAAAATAAATGTAATCTTTAATGGCTTGTATAGCTATGAGAGTGTATAAAACTTTCAGAATTCATCAAAATAGTGTATTTTTTTTTTACAATCTTTAATGAAATGAATACATGGATAAATCCATATATTATATTCTATAGATCAGTAGAAATATCCCTTAATTAGTGACTGAAAATTATAAGCTTTAAATTGTCATTTGAAACCATCATCTAAAACCTAGAAACAGCTTTATGATATTAGGCACTTAGATGTCAGTACAAAACAGATTTGGCCTGGAAGGAATATATATTCTGCTTTAGCTTATAACAATGCCCTTATAAAACTGTGTTTGCAAAATGGTGCAACTGATTAAATTTAATTTCGTAAATGTGTCTTGGAGCCATACATTCCTTTGGGTGAAAAAAGAAAAAGTGATGTCTGTAGGTTTGGTTAAGTGATAAAAATTTGGTAGTCTTACTTAAAAAGCATGTTATGATGTAAATATTCAGATAATTTTAAGTCAGAATGTAACTATGATTAGTAGACAAAAATTAATTTAAGAGCATCATTCTTCTTTTATTACAGGAGTACGTGGTGAAGCTTAATGTAAGTTTTGTAAATGTGCTCTTTGGTCTTCCTGTGTACAACATAAGTATAAATAATAATAACACCCAGCTCTCATATAATATTTTTAGAAGCTTTCAAATACGACTGTTTTACAGAAATGAAAAAAAATTACAGGAATTCTTAAATTAACTCATTTATAGTTACAATACAAAAAATGAAAAAAAACCCCAACTTTTTAATCTATCTCCTATTTCAATATAATGTATGAATAAAACTGCCTTTAACTGCAATTTCTTACAACACATTACAAGTACATTATTCATTGCAGTTTTTGCTCTAATAAAAGCAGCCATGTAATGGTGAATAGAGCTTCTAAAACCAACAAAAGAAAAGGCACTAAAAATTTGATCGCTGTCATAGAAGATGAGTAGGTACAACCATCTTGTCCAATACTGCTTTGAGATTCTACCATAATACCAACAGAAGTGGTTACATATTGCTAAATACACTCTTTGAGGTTTTTTTCCTTCTGCCAAACCCCACATATTTGCAAGTAAGAAAAACTACCCTTTGACAAAACTATTTGGTCTGATCATAGCAACTTGCCTCTCTATGCAAAGCACAATAAGGTTTATACCTTTGGGCTCACTGATGAAAATGCCATCTTTACAAACAAAGCAACATTCTCATTTCACATAAGCTCTACTGAGAAACCTGCTTTAGCTTCCACAGAAGCTGTATTTTTGTATCCAAAACATTATGCGGTTTTACAATTATTTACTATCTATGCAAACAGCAATTTCCATACTTTCTTTCAGTGAGAAATAAAACCATTCATAGTACAAACTTCTTCAATTGCCAGGAAAAGATCCTTCAAAATTACTGAATTTAACAACATCAAAAGACATGCACTCAAACATGATGTAGAAGGCCATTAGTGGGTCCTCTTTTCTACCGAACTTCTAATGTGAACTTGGGGACTTTGACATACACCAGTTCATAATGTTGCTTCCATTTCTTCATATTCTTAGTGTATTTCAGACACATTCTCTCATTATACACATCTTTAAGCTCCAGATATCTTGAGAGAAGTATGTCTTTTTTACAGTTAAGCTACCTGAATACATATTTATTGTGTAAATCTTCTGACATTACTACAAATCCAGGTTAGTTTGGGATGACCACAGGCACAGCTGAAGTGCTGCACAATCAAATTCACACAAAATCCAGATGGTCATCCACCTTTTTCTTCCACACATGTAGACATGCATGGACGTTTACAAACTGTTGAGTCTGCTAACCTTTTCAGGAATTAACTTGTGTGGGGAAGGTTGGAAATAATTTATTATGCAACACCATGCACACCTGCAATACAATCAGTAGCATTACTTAAGAGTAACATGTAAGAAATTGTATTCTCCTAGGAGCAAAAGTGGAACACAGAAGAGTCATATCTTTGACTGCTGTTCATTAAACAATTGGTTAAATCCCTGACTATGTGGTACTCCCTAAGGCACAAAACATCTGCCTCCCTAAAGTCATTGGTTCGAGAGCTTATCTCAAGGGAAAAAGGTCAAGTAGATTCTACTGTTTCTGTGCAAAAGAAGTTATTTCACCACATGCAGCAGCTAAAGAGTTAATAAACCTAACCTTACAATCCATCTCTCAGAGTGAATGACTACATTAGGTCTTTAGCAAAGAATCAGTTCCAGGGAATTTAGTCTTGGACTTCACTTCCCACTGGCCACATTCAAAGAATTTGTACTCACCCTCTGGGTGATGCTTTTTCCCTCTTTGACTTGCACTGCCAATCCAAGATCAGACAGTCTGCAATTCCCATTATCATCCAGGAGGACATTCTCTGGTTTCATATCCCGGTACACAATTTTGATGGAATGGAGATGCAGAATCCCACAGGTGATCTGAGCTGAATAAAAGATGATCCTTTTCATTTCCAAACCCCTTTCTCCCACATTGTAGATGTGATACTTCAGATCCCCTCCATTCATGAGGCTCATAACAAGACACAGATGGGTTTTGGTCTCATAGGCATAAGCTAGTGTGACTATGAAAGGGCTGTTGACCTTCTCCAGAATCTCTTTCTCCAGCAGTGCCATCTTCTCTCCACTTTTCTTTTTCAACCTTTTCTTATCCAGTTTCTTGCAGGCATACATCTTGCCAGTATTTTTGACCTGGATGGCACAAACCTAGAGAAGATGCACATGGAAAGGTAACGAGGGAATTTTACACAGAGACTGGAAAATCAAGAGTAGTAACAGGCAGGAATTGGGGAATCACTGATGCCTTTTAGTAGCTGCTGATGCTAACTTCTGTGAAGGGTATATTAGCACAAAAACCAAGGAAAAAATAAGCGCACAATCAATTCTGTTCTGGACCAGCAGTATATGGTGGCCCTGATGCAAAGTTCTTGAGGCTGCCACATGTATTAGCAAATAAAAGGAACAAGGACAAGAACAAAAATCTATAACCACGAGAATAAGCAGCATATACAGATTGCATCTGTACAGTTAAACTCTCAAAAAATCTCCATACTGCAGCTTGGGAACAGATCCTGATGTGTGTTTTTCCCTAAACTGCAGCTAGGAATTACCTGGGAGTGGTGTGAGATAGCACAGGCTAAGATGATGTCAAGGAGCAGTCTAATAGTTAACTACATGAATATTCATGCAAGTTTTTTTAAAGAAGACTGCTTTTTTACAAAAAAAAGCATTGATACAGAATAAAAAAATGTTAAAGTAGCTTTTTACTAACAAGAGTCTCTACCACAGTATAAATAACCCAGCCTGATTTCTGGAAAATGGGCAATCTGAAGGGGCATGTTTTACAAATCTTCATACAATGACTTAATCCACTGCTCTTTGTAAACCCACCTACTAGTCTTGAAAGGGGAGAGATGACTCACAGCCGTAAAAGTACAAGCTCTTACCTCTCCAAAGCCACCTTTGCCCAGCACTCGGAACTCAGAAAAGTATTTATCAGTTACTGGTTGCTTCTCAAACACCTTCCATTGGATGAATTTGTCATAGAAGGGGCTGTTCTGGAAATCCTGGAAGGGCTTGTCTTTAAAGAAGACTTTGGTTTCCTCCTTGGCCAACTGCATGATGTTCTCATAGTCTTTTGCAGCAGCTGCTTTGCATTTGCTGACCAAGTCAGAGCTCATGAAAGACAGATAGTTTTTGGCGCCTTCCTTAAGAAAATTGGTGACAATATTCTCCATGGTACTGCTCTTGAGACTGTCCTCTGCCAACTCCCAGTTTGATACCTCATCCAGGAAGTCCCTAGCTACCAAATATTCTGGCACTGTCTCTAAGAAGTCTCTGAAGAATCTCTTGCCAATGGGCTGCTGTTCACAGATGCTGTCATAGTCACCAGCAATGGACTCTCTATGCTGGCTACACTCCTCAATCTTGGGCAGCGAGAGGCTCTTACGCCTCTTTTGCATTTCCTTGGTGTCTCCTTCCCCACTCTTCCTTGCCTGGAGGTAGGCAGTGTTGGCAATGAGGTTGTCGAGCCCCCCCATGTCACACATCTTGGCAAGCCCTTGGGGTGGCAGAGCCTGGTTCAGACAAAATGAGTAACTTCCCAGGAGCTGTGCTGTAGCTGCACTGCACTTCTCCCTGCTAGTGGTGTGTGAGAGCTTCTGAAAAACACCAGGGAGACTAACTGCTTTTGCATTAAATACCTCTCAAGGATTTTCACTAAGTACCTTTAGGTATAGGCACCATTTGTGGAAAGTGACTGGTAAGAGGTTTCTCTGTAAGAAGCTTTGAGTTTGCTATGTATAGCTGAGGGATGACATCCTAGGCAAACCTTCCCACTGGCAGTACCAAATGCACGTGGTTTGGCTGGTGTTTTTCAGAATGGGCCCAAACAACCTTTAAATGTAAAGATTCCTTCTACATGCACTGGCTGCATGGAACATGCATAGATTCCTGGCTACAATACATGCACTCTCCAGCTCAGGGGCACTTCGGCCATGGTCAGCAGGACAGGCCTGGATCTCCCTGTCAACATCAAACACCAGCAGAATAACAACTGGTTTTATGAAAAGCTTTTATCACAAATTTGCCATGCCTAAAAGACCTTGACATAGATGAACATGAGATGTTGAGCTTTAAATTACCACACAATTCAATGCTCTGAGTATTCACACCTCCAAAACTCAAGTTATACTCAACATCAGTGACTGAGCCCCACAGACAGCTCATGAAAACCCTGCTGCCTCGTGTGGCTCTGTCTGAGTAGATTACATGCAGAGGCTAAGGACTGCTGCTGGTCTAAAAATAATGATCCTTCTATACGAAACAACACAGCTCTGACTTCATCTCCTACCCACAGAAAAAAGAAAAACACTTCAAATGAACAGCCAAATCTTGCCAAGGCACTTCCATATGTTGTTTTGGCTTCAGTTTATTTTCCCTGCTGAGCTTTATGACAGAAAGTGGTTGGATGAGAAGGTGGCAACAGCATATAGCTGAGGTGACATCAACAAAGGGACAAAGCTGATTATAATCAAGTGAAGGCAAATTCCACCTGACTTCACTTGCTGGCTGCCTCCCAGGACGCATTTTTTTTCCCTTCAAAAGAATAAAAATTATGTGTGGCACTCACTAGGCTAAGCCCCCTTCTGCTGTGGGGTCAGGTGATTTGGCCGTTAAAACTTTCCTTAAATATAAGGAAGGTATTATGAGAACAAGAAAAGAAGTAACACTGGGGTCAAGCTGTACTCTTGAGGTCAAGGTCAAGTTTCTTTTTTCTTTTTTCACAATCTTAGAGCAAGCTGAAGAGCTGAATCACAAAATCTAAACATCAAGCGTAGTAAGAGGCACCTTTCAGACTCCCTACAGTAAGTGTTAAGCCCTTCTTGGCTGCTTTTTGCCACTCTACAACCACACAGTATTTTGTTTTTCCATGCTTAATCCTGTCTGCATTGAATCCATTTGACATACAACTCACGCTTGTACTCTACGAAATTCCCTTGGAGGCGTTTATTTCCAGGAGTGATGGAGAGGATCATTGCAAACTGCTGTGTGTGCACGAGAACCGGGGGAATGTAAGGCAGAGACTTGAAAGCCTGGCGAGTTCTGCCAGGTGAGAGCAAGCACAGGGTGAGAGAAGGTCACATAAAAGGCTCAACAGAGCAGCCAAAAGTGTGGACAACACTGCAAAGAGCCAATGGAAGAAACCAGGAATTCTGCTGGTGGCTGTCCTGAAAATGGGGCCTACAGCAACACATTCCTATAATACCCTGGGTATAGAAAGGCATGAAAGGAGGTAATAAAGCTTCAGTTTCAGCTTTTTTTTAAATAAAGCTTCTAATTTCCTAAAATTCAGTTGGGTCTTTTTTATGTTTGGCCAGAATATCCACCACAGCTCAAAGTGCAGCATAAATGGCTAGTAGCTGGGGCCCTAAAGCTGAACTCAAGCTTAGACCAAATACTGGTATATTCATGCCTAAGCAAATCAAGAAAATACCTAATGCTTATAGCACCTACATATGACAGACACATTTACAACTCCAAAGACCATTCTATCAAATTAATTAGAATCTATCCCAGTTTCTGTGGAACATAAACTTTCTCTAAAATAACATAACTTCATGAAAAGAAGAATAAAACATCATGATCATTGAACATATTACTCCAGTCACTTTTGAGATTTGCTTGCTGACTTATCCAAATCTGCTCAGCGTTTATTAAACACAGGAGAAAAGCAGATCAGCATTAATCTATTAGTTGATAAACTATTTAAGGTAGGGTTACCTGCTCATAAAACAGTATGTCTGGGTAAGAAGCAAAAATTATTTATTTTGCGTGTACAAGAGGTGAACAATTACAGAACTGAAAATGGGGATATACTAAAAACCATGCTAATCAAGCATATCAAGGTATGATTTGGAGAAGTTCTCTGGTGTAAAGCTCATAGAAAGACTGGGACTTCGGCTAATCTCTAAGTCACAGAGAAAACATGCAGGACTTAAAATTCATTACTTTATGTTCTAGGTGAACCTCAATTACTGGTCAACAAGATATAATACGCAAACAGGTACACAAAAAATACCAGCTGCTTTGATTTCAACATTAACTTCCCTAATACCTCATTTATGTCATCACCCCTTTATGCTGACAGGTCAGAAAAACTCTTCAACAACTGTAATTCTCAGCTGCTCTTGCCATGTTCATGACATGAGCTAAAAGCAGGGTTTGGTACTTTCAATATTCACCTATAAATCAAAGTAAAATGAAGGAAAGTCCTCTGATGGGACTAGATGGCACTAACAGAGGTCATAGGATGGAGCCTGGGACCAAATGTGGATAAAGAAAACAGGTGTAAGGTAGGTAAGATACAGTTTGACTGTGACAGCTAAAATTTATTCTCACATTTACTCAGATTTCTTTTTTTTGCAAAAATTTTGGGAATATTTTTACACGAACAGAAATACGCCACAGCAATGTAAATGCTATAGGCACTTCATTACTACTGTTAACACATTTTACATTTGTATTCAGTTTTAAGACAGATGTCATCTGGCATAATAACAACTGATGTGATACAGTGTAACAGCAACTCAGGATTTGTTATCTTAGTGTGTAATTAACAAAAGCTACATTTAAAAAATCAAACATCTTTAAAACAAGACTACAGTATTAAACAAAACCACAGTAAGCTCTGCAATATGCTTAATGACAAAGATTGGAACTACTTTATACAATGAAGATAAACCTCTTTAAATGTACACAGAATTAGACAGAAATACATCTACTGAGAAACACATTAAACATTAAAGATGATAATTTTGAGGTAAACAATGCATATTATATTGCTTCAATTTCACCCATGTTGATTAACCATTTTATTAAGCCTGAATTTGTTACAGATTTAAACCAATAATTCTACTTCTCCATTACATATATTTTAAAAATCCCACAGCATATGTTCAGATTCATAGTAATTTGGATATTTAGGGAAAGGACAAAGTTAGAGGCAAGCACTTAAACAGCTGCAAGAAAAAATTCAAAAAGATGCTATATTCAGGATTTCCACAAAAATGAAAAAATGCTTCCAAAGCACTGTGACCAATAAAAAGAAAATAAAAAAATTTCTATTCAATAAATTTTCAGGAAATTACAATTTACCATTTTCCCCTAGATTTAGTTAGTGCCTCTTTTCCTTGGCTTATTTAAATTATCGCTTTTGTTTGCTTCCTATATTAATCAGCTAACCAGCAAGATTGTCAACACCTCTAGTTAACTGGTATCAAATACAAGTCTTTTTACCAAAAATCTTTGGATTAAAAATACATGTCTCCATGATCACGAACAGAAATATAAATAAAAAAAATTTAACATGGTTAAATTTTAACATTATAGTTGTATAAATCATGTCTAGAACATAACAGAGCAACAGACTTGAAGATATAACAAAATGAAAGTCATTAAGAAAACCTAAATTAGAAATGTTTAATACAGTGTGATGGAAAAAGCACATAGCAAATGTTTTACACACTGTTCATTTTAGATTAAAACCCAGAATATTTTATTAAAAACCACACTGACTGTGGTTTTGCATACAATAGTACTTAGGAAACATTTTCTTTATCCTGACAGTAAACTAAACAGTGTATCAGACCAGGTAAGGTGAATCTTTCAATTTAATTAATTTATCAAAGGAAAAACATTAACTGCTCTGTGTTTAGGGTTATAATATGCACCAGTAGGTTTCTATGCTCTGATACAGACAACAGTTTAATCATAGCAGATACATTTGTTGATGTAGTTTTGTTGATGTGCTGTTTCAATTGTGGAACCCTTGCAGTGAGCCTGACCATGGCCTGCACCAAACCCACTCTGAAGCAGATAAACCAAGTGAGCCATGTCCTGACAGACACGTTCAGTTCTGCATGAGCACAGGGCATAATGCACACACCGTTCCAACAAGTGCAACAGAAAGAAACCCTCCAGTTTTTATTTGCCTATTCTCTGGACTACCCAGTCCTGCTGGCAGAGGGGACAGCGATTATTCTGTTTCACCCACAAGGACATGCAGCAATTGTGGAAGGAATGATTGCATTCTCCCCAAACCACTGAAAGAGAAGAAAGAACATGTTCCAGTCACACTCAGCTGTTCAATCAACACCTACAGCAAGGTTCAAACTATCACTCTTCTCAAATAATAACCACTGGAAACTTTAGAGATAAAACAGGTCATCACTGATTAATCCACTGAGATTGGATTATTATGATCATGCTGATGGATAGTCAGTTCCATCATCAAGCCTTCTACTTACTTCCAAATATTAAAAAAAAAAAGAAATGCATATATTCTCACCTTGTTTAAAGTGAGAAGGTTTTGTGACTGTATAAACACATTTAGCAGTTCTGCCCAGGAAATAAGTGCAATTATTAAAGTTTTTCCCCTTGATCTTCTCCAGTACCAAAATAAAGCCAATGCACTACTGACTCACTATCATACCAGAGCATACCACCAATTCTCATGTGAAATGCACTGTTTGAACTGAAATGTGTGATAGCAAGGAGGCACATATGGCACAGTATACAATCTTAAAATAGGACTTTACACCAGGAGTTAGTCACAGGCTACAGTTGTTCCAAGACTACAAAAATTGTTATCCGTTACCTATTTACTCCTGAATAATACTTTAAAATGTAGTTACTTGGCTTTTTTTCCTTATTAGCTCACATTTTCCCCACAGGAGCACAAAGGTAACAACCAAAGGAGTGCTGTAAATGATAAGTTTTCCTGTCTATCTTAAATAGGAAACTTAGCAAGCCAATTAAGATATCTGGAACAGGAAAACCCTATTCCCATTAAAACAATAATCAAAAAACCCCAGTGGGTTTTTTTTTGAGACAATACTCTTCAAAACACAAAGCTCAACAGCATGGAAAGGTTTACCACTCATTTAAAAGCTGTCATAAAGGTTTAAATCAAATTCTTTGAGACAGTTTTCACTATTTCATATTTAAACAGTCAGAATTAAGACTTTCTTTTGTATACACAGGCACTGAAAGTATGATTATGTTTAAACTGAAGTGATTCCACTCTTGAAAATGAAAATTGAACAACCAAGCCATTGCCTCCATTATCTGTGAATTAATAGTGGGAAAAATATCACTTCCTAACTCAGACATACATTTATTTCAGAACAGAGGATTTTTACTTGTACTACGATTATGTTTTCTGGCATGCAACTCTGAAGAAAAAAGTAGCTTTTTCCTACCCACTTCAAAAATGTACATTATGATCTCAAATATGTGAACACAACACTGTTCACAAAACAGTGAAAGAAACCTAAATCTCTTAGTTGTGTATGTGTTGACAGGAAATTGGAAGCTGTTTTGTTTTACAGGACAGCTGATATGAAAACTGATTTTTTTGCTCAAAAATTATGCATAAATTATTACTAATGTAAAAAGACAATACAACGTAGAACAAAACACCAGTTTACTTTTGAGCATTACTAAAATCAGTATTCCCTTCAAACTTTAAAATGCACCATACTGAGAGAAGCTTCAATTGAAAAACAAGCGAATGAAGTCACTACATACCAACACAATCTTCTTGTTTGTTTTCAGCTTGACATCTAAGACAGGCATCTAAAAGTAAACAAGAACAAACTCAATTTGATTCTCAGGATTCCATCTTAAGAATAGGTTTGTCAGAGGAAAATATAAACTCTAATACAAATTTACAGAGGTAAAAATCTCAAGTTTTGATGTCAACTTGAGCCCTTTAACATTAAACAGGCTCCTGACATTCTAAAACTATGCAAATGACAATGAAATTTATAACTGAAAGAGATCAGAAGGACTCTGAACCCTCCAGCATGTTTTGTTTATTTTCCATTGCTTTGGTATTTTCATAACTTTTGCTGAAAAAAAGCCTTCTCCATTTTGTAGATATAAAAGCCCGCAGATTTGTGCCAAGGCACTCAGGCATACTAAGACCAAAGCAAGCACAAAGCCAAACCCTAATTACAGGACTTTGTTTTTCAGATGTCAGCATTTCCTTTAAAGGAAGTCATTCACAATTTTGATTTTTTAGGCTGTGAATCTCTCACCACAACTCCCACCACCTATTACTTTTTATAGCAGCTTCCCTCAACAAGTACCTGCATCTGATTTTCACAGGAGTCACACACATACAAATATAGTGGTACAGCTGATAATATATGTTAATAAATATGGAATAATATCTAATTAAAAATATGTATTTTTATGTATTCCAGTCTGTGGTTTTAGGATTGGATGGCAGGTCCAGGACTCAATAAAAGTCCTATGGGCATATGGAAAGCCGGACAACTTCCAGGCTTCCCATATGCCACACATACAGTGGAAAAACACCTTTGCTTCTCCTTTGCCCCACCATGGACTGCCACAGACACACATGCACGAATCATGCACAACAGAAAGTGCTCAACCATTACGTAAGGAAACACATCTTCATCTCCTCCAAAGAAAAGGAACTAGTTTAAACAAATGTCCTGCAGGTTGGATCTGGCTTACATGTTAATAGTTGGAGCATATTCTCCCAGAAGACGAAACCGTAATGTGCTACAGGAATTTAGATTTGAGTATTTTTGCTCTTTTTGAAAACAAAATTATATTATATAATTTTTTATATTATATATAAATAATATTATATAAATTATATTATACTGGCCAGATAGGGCCTATTCTAAAATATTCTACTATTTTAGAATAAATCTGCCCAGACGTTCCTCCTCTTCTCAGGTGATAGAGAAGAGGAGAGAGCTCTAAAACGGCTGCCCCTTCCTCACTGAGACAAAAGCACAACTTTCCTGTTGTCTGTTCCTACAATTTATATTTCCACAGCAGTTAAGGGCCAAGGTGCTGGGGAGATTCAGCCGAAGTGCTTCAACTTGTATCAGGGTGTGTGGGAGCCCACATTTGATTGATGATTTGGGGTCAGAGCAGAAAGAATAAATCAGCTGTCCTATTGAGCCCTAGAGTTGCAATTTCAGACAGAAGCAGCACAGAGAGCCAAGGACAGAAATCACTGCCACCACACCTAAGTAACCTGTCCCTATTCCTACATCATAACCCCAAGGGGGTCAGTCTGAAAAGCTAAGGACAGCAAAGCCACTCCAGCTGCAATCCTGCACTTCCCTGCTGACACCTGCATTGCTGCCTCCTTCCCTTGTGCATCTAAGACCACATTGGTTCAATGAGTTAAACCAATATAAAATGGTTAAGGAGCTAACACCTCCTTCCCTACAAAAATCAAACAAACTAACTTGCAACAAGTGCCAGTCTCAGTCTGGCACTACCTCCCACCTAAGGTTACTGCAGACGCAGTGGCTCTACAGGAGCCAGACCCACTCTGGCAGGGTCAACGCAAAATTGCTAAACTGAAGTCAGTAATGATCAAGTTTCACATTCTAACAATGTGGTTTGTTCCCAAAAAAACGATTACTAGATTTTTTCAGATTTTTTTCTAATTTCAGATTAAAAGTACTCTCTTGGTCTAGCTATGAGAAAATATTATATTTTTTTTTAACATTTATAATTGCTCTGGGTAAGATTTTGTTAATTTAAGACATTTTTTATAATGTCATGTAACAGGCTAGCCACAATGGGGATAAATACATTTTTTAAATTACGGTTTACACGGCAAATGAAGCCAATTTCATATTTCCAGAGTGGTCTCTGTTTACCATAAAAAAGCAAATAATCTTCAAAACATCCTTATGTAAAAGATCAATCTCCCACCACTTCAGTTTGTGCTGCATCTTTTTTTCTCTAGTGCACCCTTTTGCCTCCTTTATTCCAAAGAATCTTCCCACTAAAAACACTTATGAGAACTAACAGAATTGCATATTTTGTCTCATTTCTGTTAAACCAAATCCTGACTTCATTTTCAGTATCATGGCTCCTGGCCCTACAGAAGCAAGGTGCTCTTGGGTCGTTTGTCCGGCCAAAGTGTCACACACCCAACTGAGAGGACAGTTTTATCTAGGATGACTCAGCCCAATAGTAAAAATTGGATATGCACACACAGTAAAGGAAGAATTGTAGCCGTTTTCGAAGAACCAAGATAAATATCGTATTTGACAAAGATGTCACAAAACAACAATATAGGTAAACAATGAAGGTGTTTCAAACAGTGTCTGGATTTCAAAACCAAGTACATTAACCCCTTACTCAGTAGAGATCTCAGTACATTTATGTGTGTTCAACTGCAGCAATAATCACGTTTGTGAAGTAGTGCCAGGCACCCTAATGTAAGAGATTTGCAAAATGAATTTATATATACATCCGTAACTGCTTCGTAAAAAAAACCCAAAAAACAAACCGAACAAAAGACCCTTAACAAAACCCACCCCACAAAGAGCACACCGGGAATGCAGCACTCGGTTGAGCTGTAAGGCAGTGCCGCAGACGGGCACCAGCCCTCACGCCGAAGGCGGCACTGCAGGGGAAGGGGTCACCGAGCACCCGGCGGGGCCCAGGCCCCGCGTGCGGCGGGGGCGGCGCAGGGAGCGCGGCCC